TTCAGGCATGCTAACAGGAAGAAGCTTTTACAATTCTAAAAACATAAGTAAATACTATTTTTTAACAGGCATCGTGTTTTATTTGCTCGGACATCTTGTATAACGATGAGAGGAGAAACAGATTCCTAAGAGTCATGAGCTGGTAATTCTCCAATCTATCATCTCTGTAGTTTATGCACAGTCATTAACAAGAAGCGATTTGTCTGGGACAGATTTAGCCCAGCAACTCCCTGTCTCATTAGCCTAAAACGATCACCCAAGGAATGTCAAAAAGTTTAAGAGCTTAGTGTAACAACTAGCCCCCCCAACAAATACTAGTTTTCTTAAAAAATAGTCCAATCCTACCGTTTTGCCAATGCAGTTTAAGAGCTAAACACAGACGCATAAAATTCCCTTTATATTAAAAATGTTTTGATGGGTAAAGGCAAAAGGTTTTCACTGACAAGGAAATCCTGAGAATATTGACAAGAAAACAACAGGAGGAGACTTAAAGACTTTGACTTGTTTAACTTATCAAAACAAGTGGTCAAGAGGGGATCCGACTGCTCCCTCTAATTACATCAGGGAGGGAAAATAACCATTTAAACCAAATGGCAACACTAGAACAAAAACAAATTATACCAACTAGCCATAAACACCGCAAGGATGGAAATTCAGCGATTGCTCCGGGACTTAGAGGAGGCTCTCCAACCGCTCTCCCGTGGGGACGGGGGTGAAGAATAAACCGATCAAGTTTCACCTTAAAAGCAGTTACATTAAGAAAGGCATCCACAGCACGGATGGGTGCTATAAACAGGGAAAACTAAACTTGATCAGGGGCTCTCTTCCGCTCTCAGGTTCTTACCAGCCCGCTTGCTGCCACGGCTTTTGGAGCAGAGAGGGGGAATGAAGAATTACCCTCCTGTCTTCTGCTTTTTCCCCACCCCTCCGGGACGGCACAGGGGGTATTCACACCATTTACACAGGCACGTAATTGGGGTATGATCAGGGAACTAAACTTGGAAGCTGAAGCTCTCAAGAAGTCAATGGCAAGAGGTGGGTGTCTTGGCAGCAGCGGGGGAAGGGATTAGGAGCAACCAAGTTTGATGCTTAAAATAAAACACATGTCCTCTCCACCCGTGTCCTTACACTTAAGGGTCTTGGCCAAAAACGTATTTAATCCATACCCATCACCTCTGAAATCCACGGGAAATTTCAGTTTCTGAAGGATTTTGTTAACCCTGCGTTTACAGTGCCGGTGATCAAGCAATGATTAGACACTTTTGAGCCACAACCATCTAATTTCCAACAGTAAGAACAGATGATGCAAAGGAAAGGTGTTATATGGCTAACCGAATAACACTGCAGTTTTACAAAGGCTTGAGCAAGTCCTTCCCTTTTCTTCCAGGGGTTTCAAAAACACATTACTTAGCCGGCTAAGTTATCTGTAATAGGCATTTTATGACAGTGGGAGATGAAGGATCAAATTAAAAACTAATTGTGTTCTTCATATCCTACTGCTGCTGCTACTTCTGAGAGCAGAAAACATCTTCTTTGAGACCGGCTAGATAAGTGGGGGTAGGAAAAAAAAAAAATCTAACAAAAAAGGTATTTGGTAAGAACTCTAACAGAGAATTAGTGTTTCTATCCAAACCCCAACCTTTCCCCGCTGCAGTTACACACAAAAGTTATTTTAATCACTGTATGCAGAAAGCAGCATCAGCATATGAGGCAAGAGAAAAAATATGTGGTAAAGCGAGTTGCATAGCCTGTTCGTGGACAGAAATTACAGCGCAGTTATAGGGAAGAGGTCCACGAGGCAGAGGAACGCTTCCAGCCCAAACCAAACGGGAGGACGTAAGCGATCCACCAGGGGAACAAGCAAGAAAAATATGTGAAACAAGGTGGAACGTGGGAACTGAATCCCCTTTTAACTTTCACAGCAATCAATTCAGACTTTCCTGCGAGGGATTTCTGCCTTGTCATATGTAAAGAGATGTTAAATAGAACTTGTCAGTTACGTCTGCTAAATATCTATGTGTGTTGTTGGACAGAGGTGGCAATGGAAACACTAAAGAAAACAAAGAGAAAAAAAAAAAGATCATTTTAAACAGAAAGAATTTTAAGAAACAGAAAGATTTTAAACACAGCAGAATCTCAGCTCCTCTTCCACAACTCACTTCCACAAAGCAAGAAATTACCTTCTTTGAGTTTTTCTGACAGCAATCTCAAAACACGTAGAAGAGCCTTTGGGGAAAAAAGGTTATGAACTGACAAGCCCCAAAGCACGCAGGCTGACTAGAAAGTAGCATTTAGCACGGCCTAATGCGGAAAAGATGCTATGCTACGTTATTCTTAATAGCCACCTACCTAATTAAAAGCCTTCATCGCTTGAAATTAGCTACAAGAGATACAGCTTTGCCACCTGAACTCTTCTCCCCTCTCTCAGCAGCCTGCACACTGGAGGAAGGCTCCCAGCACGGGGTGAGCCGTGAGCGGAGGAGGATGAGGAGAGGCAGGAGGGGTATTAACACCTCTTGGGTTCACACAGCCACATGTGGCCCACGGGGGTGACGTACCGGAGACCACGGGTGATTTAAAAAAAAAATATTAAAAAAAACAAACCTCTTACAACCTATGAACATGGGAAAAAGCAATATATTCTACCCGGTACAGTCAACGCCACTGCAGGAGCACAAAACGGGATGGATGATTTTAACCGGCGAAACGCAATGCTTCGTTAAAAGTTCGCAGAGGCCGCCCGGGTGCGGCAGCGTTGCGTTCACGCCTGACCTTATCGGGGGGGGAGGGAGGGAGGGGGGCCGAAAACCACGGAAAATCCTTATAAATCAGATTCTGGGGGGGGGGTAATTTTTTATTTCGCCGCCCTTCACAGGTCCGTGCCTCTGGCGGGGGGGGCAGGCAACGACGCAGACCTACAGATGACGAACGACACCTCCGGTTTCGGGGGGTTGGTTCCTTCCCCCCC